TGTGTGTGCTGTGGCAGCCATTGCCCCTGCCCGCTGCCCAGTCCCTGCCCCCCGAGGCTACGAGCCGCAGTTGGAAGCTCCTGGTTTGGCCTTTTATTCCGGGACGCCACAGAGGCACAGCCCGTGGTCCCTTGGGAAAGGCCCGAGCTGCGCGCTGTGTCGGGGACAGCCCGGGCTCGTGCGAGTGACTCGCCCCGCAGCTGCGTGCGTGCCCGGCCCGAGCCTCCCGTGACGCCGAGCCGGCCAGACCCAGGAGCCCCCCGGCCTCTGCTTTTCTTCCCCGTGAGCAACTGCTAGGCCAGCCCCGCTACTGCCCCTCCCTGCTTATCTGTCTGCTCCGGGCCCCGCCGTGGGTTGTCCTCGTGCACAGAGCAAACCCTTGCACCAGCCAGGGCCTTGTTACTATGTGCCCCTCCCCACTGGTGAGTAGCTAGGAGATTTAGCAGCTTTCTCTTGCATGCTATTACACACCTGCACCCTCTGTCCTATACTGAAAACCTGCTCGTAGACAAGGTGAACACAGTCCATTGGGTTGTTGATTAATGTGCCCAGCCCCTTGGGAAAGCAGCGTCCTGCTTTTTCCCCTCACGTTCCACAGGTAACGTTGTGGCAGGTTAGGATCATGCCTTTATGGGCCTCGTAATCATTTGGGCATGGACGGCTTTTACGTTTACTGCTTCTTTTAGTGTGTGTGCGCAAGGGTAGTGTGTTGGGACAGGACTAAGGAGGGACAGGTGATGTCTCTGTGGTATTTTGGAGGCAAGTATAGCTAGTAGGGCACCGTGTATAACTCAGTAAGTTGTCTCAGCAATTTCTGCCAGAAAAGGCATGCCCAGTTGTTACTCAGCACCTTGCATACTCACAGGGCTGTAGAATCATGAATTAATTCTGACACGTTCCTTTTGTGGCACTAGGCATTGTTGTTTATCCCGCTTTTTACAGATGAGGAACCTAAGGTAGAGATATTGTGAAGGCTCAGTAGCTCTAAGTTTCTTAGTTCAAAAGTTTGTCTGGGGTGGGTTTGAGGGGATTGAGCATGCGTTGAGCAGGGGGTCAGATTGCTGAGGGTCTTTCCAATCCTACTTTTCTCTGTGACTTACCAAAGGATCACATAAGGTGTGTACACATGTACTAACTTTCTGATAGTTAAGTCAACTTAACTTTTTAAAGTTGACTTAACTGTCAGAGCATACACACACATGTGGAGCAGAGTTGACTTAAATGTGGCGCAAAATAATACACCCCTGAGGTGATTTATCTTGAGTCGCATTAGTTAAGTCAACTTAGCTCACAAGATGACTGCCACAATGTCAAGGAGTTGTACATGTGTATGTGCCAACGTCTCTAAACTTAAGCCAACTTAGTTAAGTCATCTTATTTTAAGTCCACTTAGTATGTATGTACACATCCACAGAAAGTCAGTGTCAGATTGAAAACAGCCCAAATCTAGGATGAGGGGAGGGGAGGGGATCATACTCCTGAATTGTGTTACCTTTGTCTTGTTTGCTGTCTCTGATGTTAACAGGTGTACAGAGCTTTATGGCAATCCTCTTGTGTGTCTGTCTGTGGTACAGATAATACTGTATCTGTTCAGGGTCAAAATCAGAAGATAAGGGCTTGGTTCCAACTCTTACTGATGCACGAAGCCTGTCTGGGGCGGTTCAGTGACAGACACCAGAACAATTATCTCCTTCTAACAGCTATAAGAGAAGGGTATCATGTGAGCTGCAGTACCAAAAGCGGGGTGGAGGGAGCTGTAGGACCAGGAGGTTGCCTCCAGCAATAGGCTCAGCTTGGTAGCACATCTTGGCTCAGAATTCTCTTGCTGCTGGGCATGGCCACTGACTGTGATGCCTTACACAGCTGTGCTAATATCACATAACATGAAAAGGAAAAAAGACCCGTTTCTGAAGCCCCATTGAAGTCACTGAATAAATGGCTTAGGCTTGGGCCCAAAGTTTGTGTGGCTAGCTGTGAAAGTGAGTCAGGCTATTACATGTTGGGAGGAAGAGAGATTTGAATCGGGTCAGCTGAAATTATTAACCATGCAGAAACATGAACTTGCATGGCCAGGAGTCACTCACTAGATGTCATTGGAACTGACTGAATGCTGGCTGTAAGTATTACTTACCCTGCTCACTGGTGGGATGGTTCTACAGCAAGTATTGCTGTGCTGTTCAGTCTGGTGTCTGATACCACATACAGATAGAATGGGGCCTTGCTGCTTTACTGTCCTCAACAAAACGAGTTTTTCCTTCCCTTTCCCCCGTATTTCTGTACCTAATTGTGGTAACTACTCAGAAACTGCTGATTTCTAACTGCTCAAGGATGACCCTCCAATTCTGGGCAATTGTCTAAGCCGTTCATAAAATGGGTGGTCCTGACTAGAGAGAGGATATATGGAAGAATCACTTGATTAATTAGTATTCTAGGAGTATATTTGGGCCCTTGTCCTGGATGGCAGCCTCATAGTGCTAGATGCTGTATGCATGCAATTAAATGATTGCAGCCAAAATATCTTACTGTCTTTACCCCTTACCTACTCTTCTGAATGTCAGTCAGCTTGGGCTGGTAGGTCACAGCTGTTTATTACCTCACTGAAACTCCACAGAGCAGTTTGCATAGGAAAGGGAGGGAGCTGACCATGGAAGAAATTTAATTATGTCAGTGCAATAAACCAAGTTGGCTGTTGGCCAGCAGACACCAGTCAAAAAGCGCCACAGGCCTTTAGAAAATAGAAATTATCAACATTTTGCCAGCATTACCAAACACTGTGGGCTTGCTCCCAGGAGCAAAGGTTTTTCCAGTCTCAATGCATACAGTTTGAGAGCTCAAATTATTTTGGGCAGAGGGCTGCTTACTGAATTTTGGCAAGCCATCGAGGGCCGCATGACGGGCAGTCAGGGGCAGATAAATATTACTTTTATAAATTTTTAGGGGCTCTGTGGGCCAGATAGAATGGCCTGGCGAGCTACGTTTTGCCCACCCCTGGCTCAAACCCATCCAGAGGGGTATGAGTCTGGGCTTGGCACACTTTCAGCTGTGTTGCCTGGTGGTTGCTCAGCTGCATGGGCTTGGAAACAAGATAAATGGCCCATTGTCATGATTCCTCTTGGAATTTTCTACACCACACGTGGGGTCCTGGGGAAATATTGATCTTGCAAAGAGCGGCCCCCATCCTACTCCTTGTGCAAATTCAGGCAAAGATCCAGCATGACCAGTCAGGCTGACTCTGTGGCAAGATGCTACTTCACCAACTGTCCCTGCCCACCAATACTGAAGAGGCCTTGGGTGCTGTCCTGCAGACCACAGAGTCAAATCTGTTGGACACATAGGTCTTGGCAGCTGGCAGTGTTTCTTCCCACCTAAGGGCCCCACTTGTACAGCTGATGATGGAGTAGAGAGGAGGAAGTTGCTGTGACCTGTGCTGAGCAAGCCAGGACAGAGTACAAACTGGGGCCTTGGAAAGGCAGCTGCTCAGATAGCGTTTAGAGCAGCCTCCTTGGCAGGGAGCTGACCTGTCCCTACCATTCCTCCTCCTTCTCCCTACCTCACCTTCCTCCCTTCCTCCAGATGTTACACAATTCCTAAAACATGGTCAGTAGAAGACACTGCAGTCCTTTATGCTGTGACTGTGCTCTAAACAGGGATCCTGGGCCTCTCAGAGTATCTCAACCACAGCTGGAAGCTGTCTGGTTTCAGAGCAGATAAAAGTGTTTTTGAGGGCCCAGATTGCAACACCTCAACACAAGAAAGCTCTCCAGTGGGTTTCCAGAGCTGAGAGATGAGTAATGGCCTTGCTGGAATGTACCCTCCCTGCCTGTGGCTTCCTATCTGGTTCTCACACCACCTGGCCAGACTATTGGTGTTGGTAAAACAGGTGAGGCAGACAGAGTTCAGTCTTCATTGTGTGACTTTGATAATTTTCTTCACAGGTACATCAAATGGGACACTGGCATCTGTAGGATCCCATGATAAAAAGATTTGTCCTGGGGAGAATTCTAACATTTTTTTTGGCCTGTGAAGTATTGAGACATTTTTTTTATCCCGGGGAGAGGTGGGACTAATTTGAGTTAATTGCCATTCAAGCTGCCCAGGACGGTCAGACTTGGGATAAACCCATCTGCTTTTAGCCTCTGTTATGTTTCTGATTAGAGTCCCTTTTGGTTTCTGGTTCCCATGAGCCAGGCCAGTGACTCAAGAGGCAGAGCCAACATCATAAGAAAATATAAAAATCCTAGACTTTCGTCAGACTGCAGGTGCTGGTGGTTACACCTTGGGAATATTTCTGAGTTACCATCTGGGAAACCTTGTTTTTACAGAAATTCACTTGGAGTCTGCTCTCATCTCAGTCCTGATCTACAATATTCTGGAAAGTCCCTGAATGCCTGGGGAAGTTTTTCAAGCTCATGGTGCATTTTTCGGTGAGACTAGGATTGCCTGCCTTTATAGCCTGAAAGGGAAATGAGTGCAGTGGAACAACTTCCAAGACACACGGTGGGAGGAAACTCGAGTCACCAGACTACAAAGCATGATATATGTGACCAATTCACATTTCATCTCATCTGATAGACAGGTTAAAGATAATCCTAACCTGAGAGCCTATTCTAAATGGCCTTAGAATAGTGGTTCTCAACCTTTTTTGTACCAGGACTCATTTGTGAACACCGATGGCCAGTCTTGACGCAACACCCCCCATTCCCGACCTGCTGTTACCAGGCCCCAGCTCCACAGTGTGCAGGCTAGGTGTGGGGGAGGAGGGGCATGGGGGGGCCCCAAGCAGCCCCTTGTAGGTTGGAACTCTGCCAGCCTGCAAGGGAAAAGCCATGGGTTTCCCATGTTTTTCTCCTTTAAAGAAGAATCAATTTTTAAAGTTTGTTCATGACCCTTTCATATTTTCTTGTGACCCACTTTTGGCCCGCGACCCACAAGCTGAGAAATATTGCCTTAGAATACCTGGATGAAATTAGTTACAAACTTGCTGGGCATGTCTACATGTTCATTAATGCGGTTTTGCTAATGTGCATTAAGTTTAGTGTCTCCACTGTAAAGTACTAGAAAAAGGAACATTAGCCTATTTTACTGCACATTAGCGAAAGTGAATGGGGTTTTTTGTCACGCTTTAATTCGCATTAAAATAGGCTAATGCACATTAAAGTACATGTGTAGACACACTTTCAGTGATGCAAAGTGGATCAAGAAGGGGCCAGTGGAGTGGCTTGTGGCCTGTGGGGTATGTCCAGAACATGCATGAAAGATCAATGCCAGTGACAAAATAGTGACAACAGATGGTCCTAAAGAGCTTTCATAGTCACTCACTTCTCCATGAGTGAGCTGTGTCCCCCAGAGGTCTGGGCAGCTCCCGCTCTTTTCTGTCTCTTTGTTTCCTTTGGAAGGATATATTTGGACTCAAGCGGAATCTATTTTTATTGTTCTCATTCAGCATTAATTAAAGAACAACCCTGGAAGGAAAACCTGCTTATCTATCTGCTCCTTGCTCTCTGGCTCCAGTTCCTTATTGTTGCTTCAGGACTTTTTTGGTATCAACACCCTAGAGACAGAACAGCTTGGGTTAGGTGAGAAGAACTCCGTCTCCTAAAACGTCAGCAAGTAAAGCTGTGAGGACATGAAAACCCTCACCAGAAGTTCATCTCGCTGTAGCCAGAACATTTTGAGCTGGGCTTGAAAATAATTAGAAGATGATGTAATGGTTAAAAGTTACAACTCGGAGAAGACTGTGGAAGGATCTGACTTTTTGATCCAATGCCCCAGTTAGCTGAGATGGGAATGTGCAGTCAATGCAGAGTGCTTGGTGGGAACATGGTGCATGAGATCAGGGTGAGTGCAGTGCGTGCTGTGATTGGCAGATGAATGCATTAGGTGCAAGTGAAGGTGATTGGCAAATGTTTGATGGACAGTGAGTGACAGGCCCTTTACGCAGAATGGTTGGATGCAAGCAAGTGGTATGATTTCTGGGAATAAAAGCCTGCTGTCTGAAGCATCTGGCGTGAGAGTACAGTTTGAGAGGGTTCAGTGTGTGTTTTGTGAGTGAGTCTGTGGTGGTCTTTGGTAGTGGTGTTTGGTGATCTGTGTCTGTGCTGCTTGGTGTTAGTGGATTGCTATATTTGGCAGTGTATGGAGCTGCATGGCATGAGTAGTATACATATTTCCTGTGGAGAGTTGAGCAGTGGCCAGGGCCAGATTTATACCTCGCGTGTCCCTAGGTACACGATCTTCAGCGCCGCTTATCTACTCTGACTTTTGTTTTTTCCGAGCCAATGATATATCAACTTCTAGCAGTCAGCTGTATTGTGCATAATCCAACAGAAAGGTTTCAAGTGTGTATTGTGGTATATGGGAGTTGTTGAGCTGTTCACTGACCCTATCTGTAATACTATATACGATATATATTTTATTATTATTATTATTTTTACTTCAATTAAAAAATCGCAGTACTTCAATTAAAAAATTGCAGCCCTGTCGGTGCCCCTCACTCATGCCTCGTAGCCTCTTGGCCTCCCAGCCCTGCTGCCCTGCCTCCCTGTCGTGCTGCAGCCCCAGCTCCAGCAAACACCCACCTCCCTCACATGCCCATCCACACACACACATGCATGCATGCATGCATGCATGCGTGGTGCGCACATGCACCTTCCCCGCCGCCCCCACCCCCGATAGCCCACCAGCCCAGGCCCTCCAACCCCTGCCCCCCACAGACTAACTGCCTGCAGCTGCCAGTGCCAAGTGCAGAGCACATGATGCTCCTGCCTTCAATCACCCTCCCCAACTCCCTCCAGCCCCAAGCAGCTCCATGCTGGGGCAAGCTGGGACTTGACAGGAAAAACTTTGATGCTGAGTGGAAACAGAGCAAAATCCTGGACACTTGCTGATATTTTAAAAAACTGCCTGGATGGAGATGGGAGGAGTCAAAAAGAGTACATGTCTGAGAAAATCCAGACATATGGTAACCCTAATCCAACATGCTATCTGTTTTGTGGGGCTCCCCATCACTCTGGAAATGTGGGAGCAGGGGAACAGCAATTGCTGCTACCCCTCTCCTGCTGCCAAAATTTCTGAACCACGGGCACCCCTGAGGACCAGATAGCATGGCCGGGGCTT